TCTCTCTCTCTCTCTCTCTCTCTCTCTCTCTCTCTCTCTCTCTCTCTCTCTCTCTCGCGTATGCACATACATATGTATACAGATGTGCACCTTTCCACTGCCTACTGTTACAGTGCCAAGATATTCTACTTGCACGCTGAGGGTGATAGATATCTGATGAGCTCAAGCATGTTCCCATCGTGACAGACTGGTCAGAAATCATCTGCCTTATGACGTTCAGGCTTCACGTAAATTCTTCCGCGCGCACAGCAGATCACTAAGGACTAGATCGGCAGGCAAAGCTGCCAACTTAAGCAGACCGGGAACATACCAAATTAGGAACCCCAAACTCAGACCGCTTTAGGCTCTTCTGTAGCAATAATTACGCAAAAACCGCCTCGCCCACAACGAGTCATAACGTCATGCTACAGAACCTACCGTGGGAACGATGGGAGTGATCAATGGGACCAATGGATGAAGTGCCAACTGCGGAAGCAAAATGGACCCAGTACTTCACAGCTCATATCACTGTACTGCTCGTCTACTGGGTGTATGTTCAGTCACTTCTTGGAGGGCATATGGTGTCCTTCCTCTGCCGTCTGCATTTTGTTAACAGATGAGATATCAACTTCCCACTCAAAGCTGCTTAAACTCAGTGCGGCATTTCTTACACAGGTGGACCCAACTGCATAAGTCACGCCGTCCACCATATCCTCCTCTTCCCTGCAAGTAGCCCACAGCATGGCCAGTCTGCGTTGGATGCATCTGACTGACTTTATTTCTGAAACAGTCAGGCACGACATGCATTCTACTCAGCCGCACACTGGAGCATGTACCGGGTCAGGATTGTAGCATTGTTCTCAAGGTCTGTTGAAACCGGAGCCAGACCGTTGCAACCGAAGAACACTCAGGCTGATGTATTAAAGTTATCGACCCACTAGCAACCCGGGCCCTAAACTCTGGTCTGGATCCTCGATGAGCAGCTATGTTGCTTATTTGCGAACGAGCGAGGTGCCGGATTGCTGAAGACGACCAACCAGACCGAAAGACAGACATCGTGAAAACCTATGAACCATCAATGAGCAGAGTGCGGGACCAGTAGCGAGCATCGAAAGTGGCTGCCACTCCAACCATTATTACTTGCACTGAAATTTGCTGTCTCAGACTGCCAAGTAGTCTGACATGCTGGCACAGTATCTCTGCACAGACTCGCAGGATGGCAGCACCTGCAGAGTCCTCACTGACAGAGTAGTCAGTGTGTGGTGGTTTGCATCAGAAGATTGTCCGAGGTCATCGATAACACGGGCGAGAGCAGACCTTATTTCTTGATAGGGGCTATAGGGCCTTTAGGCAGAAGCTTTCCTAACTCGTGTAAGGACAGGCAATCCGGAAAAAGAACATTTTATAGAAAATTTATACACAGGGATTGCTTGGTAACCGTCTTCCCCCGGACACCACGCACCCTGATAACGAATGCATATAATCTATTTTTCCGGTCAGGTGCCGCCAAAATGACGGTGCATTGTGTTCGGGGAAAGACGGTAGTTCTTGTTGATACTAAGCTCGGATGAAACAGTTTGCCACAGCCCCTCGTTTGTTGTCCTCTTCTCCCTCTCTGCCTACGGTTTACCGGGCAGCTCCTCTGTTTGACGATATATATATATATATCGTCACAAATAGAACTGCCCGGTAAACCGTAGGCAGAGAGAGAGAAGAGGACAACA